CTGCATAGAACCACCCTATCACTGTTGTGGAGTGATAGTATACCCACATGAGCTGAACCTCTTCTCATTTCTAGTCACCCTGTCGGAGGATTATAGCCAAATCCGCCCATAGAATACAATCCGCACAAACGCAACCACACTCACGGGGGTATACTTGAATAACTTTTACGCTCAGATGAAACGTGTATGTCAAACCGGAACAGCATTCACAGTGAGCTTTTCCACTGAATCGTTGCTCGTCTCGGGTATTTAAACGATTGGTTTCAGTCCGCCTGTAACCCGCCATCCGCCTCTACGGATACGCCTTATTGCATCACAATTAACTGGTTTCTGATCCCTTTCCGAATTAGAATCCTAATAATTCCACCTTATAGTGCCATATCCCACCTTATAGTCTTTACTTCAGATATAATAAACTGCTATGTCAATACGACAAGATTACTACCATTCTCCCACACAAATCACACTCATTATTATTCAGATAACTGAATAATAATGAGTGTCGCTAATGGACCTGATTCTCTAAAAGTCGGGAAATTGTCACAGCATCATCAAAAACAGATGAGAAAATAGACATTTAGAATTCCTACAGTAGCTCAACTTTACCCAAGGTGGATCAACACGTTATCCAAAAACTATTTAACGAGGGTTACTCATGACATAGAAATGGGGATACACTTTAACAGGTAACAAATACTACTAAATGCAGATGAGAATTACTGTATATTTCAAAGCAAAGGGTTGCAGATCACAACATTCCAAGAGCAGATGAGTACATACACCTGCACGGCTTACATCACGTCCAATTTCATTTGAAACAACTGGCAAAGGAAACAAAAGTTCTTTAATATCTGATGAAATTACAGGCTAGATGTATGTCTTCGAACTCACAAATATAAGACCTTGAACAATCATCACATGTACTACCTGGATATCAGCAAAACTGAAAATACTTTAACGACTGTTTTATCCAAAGTTACTTAATTTGAATAAAGCAGCTACTTTAGTAGAGTTTCACAAACAATATTTCGAAATTCGTGAGTATTTGTGATACTTCGAAAATATTTCAAGTTGCAATCTATGTGATGACAACATTGCAATCTACAGTACAGCTTCGGTTTAACCGGGTTCAATCCCGATTTATGCTCTCCAGATCAATCCCGTTGACGGGTGATTGCTGATAGCACCTATGAAACACGGCTGAGAATAGAGTGAAAAGAAGGACACGCATGGTAGGTGGTGAACACATTAGCCCCGGAAAGGGCAATAACGATGTTCAATCTCCGCCGCAGACACCTACGATCTGGAGTTCTGCAAATATCTCAGCATCTAATGGAAAACAGATAAAAACGGTGGGTTTTTCGAGAAACCGGTGATCGTGTAATTATTGTTCAGATTTCTATCTTTCGGCTTGCGCTGTTGAAGCGTTTGACCTGGCAAATTACGTATTAGTGTACCCTACCAGGATCTAAAGAAGGCGATTCTGCCGAAACGTCAGCCACCGCTATGTTGTATGTGTTATATCTTAGCATCATTGTAATTGTTGCAGTCTATGTAATCTACTAAATGAACTCTTTTTTTCCAATCCCGAACTCAAGTGAACGAGTGCTGTTGCAGAAGTGCTCTGTTAGACCTGAGACAATCTTTAATAGGTTTCAGCCAAATTTTCAAACTGGTTAACGGGCAGGCTCACGGATAGTTCTGGTTCGCAGAAACTCCTAATCCTACAATCCTTCATAGTCCCAAAAACATCGAACAGTTTCATGAACGCTACAGTTTCCGGTTCAAGGTTTTATAGTGGCAATTCTATTCAAAACAGACACTGATAACTACGACTACGGTCGAAACATAGGACCAGTTCTCATCTCCAGTAAGAAATACTTAAGCGTAGATAATGGCATCGCCTGCTTCAAAAGGATCATTCGGTTTACCAAAAATCGATACAGAGAGGATACAACCCCAGATCAACCCCGCTGACGGGTGATTGCTGTGGCAAAAAGATCGATAGAAATAGCTGAGAGACAGGCGAAACAAAGGACCCGCATGGTGTGGTGGTGAACGCGTTACTCCCCGGAAAGGATAACAGCGCGTTCGTTCCCCACCATAGACACCTGCGGTCCAGAGTTTTGCAAATATCTCAGCAACGTTGTGGTTGTATTTCGCTTAGTAACCTGCCATGAAAATTATAGAAGGCAGAAAACAAAACGTTAAAACAGAGAGGATACTTCGAATACTAAAGTATTCCAAACGGTTATCAGTGATCATATTTGTTCGCCTGTGTAAAACTCCTCCGGCAAGCCTTTACAGATTACATAACAAATTGCCTCAAAATTCATCCTTCGTCCGATATAATGATAGCAATCCAGTTTGGGTTCACAACACTCTTTCACCAAACTCCCAAAATAGACCGATAATCTTTTTTCAACAGATTACAACAGCATCTCCTTCCGGCGGGTTTCCCGCCTCATTGTGGCTAGAAATTGATCCTGGGCGTCGAGCAGCAATGTACAGAGGGGTGACTCATCCCCTCAGCAAGACCTCCTAAGCTGGGAAGTAGTCCGGCGTTTCCATCAGAAGCCTAGCTAAAAGTAAACCAATACCAGGATCCACCACCGTCTTTGGTATTAAAGTCGCATGGTGACAAATCTCTCTCTCTGATCCACAAGGGCTGCGACTGCTTGTCGCGGTGACGACTTCGGGTAGACTTCGGCCTGGCTGGTCTTGGGACTTCAAGGAACCACAATGACTAAGTCAGCGGAACTCCGAAAAATAGAAGTCATGCTGAGGCCCGCACAATTAGTGAAGACGAGCCATCCAAGTATGTATCCAAATATACCATGTTTTGATGTCTTGCACTCAATTCAGATGCAAAAATCAATGTAGGCAGCCCATAAAACCTGTACTACATAAAGGTTACACATTAATACAACATTGGATGACCTTTGAACTCAAGCTCATCGAATAGAAAATGAGATAAGAAAAGTACCAAAGATAGAATCATCCAACTAAACCCTTCAAAAACCACACAAGCATAGTAATATATTTATATCGGTAATCTTAACAATAACAACTGCTTGCAATACAGTAATACACGTCTGAAATGATCATAAACATTTCAACAACATATAGAAAGAAAGAAAATAGTGAAACAATCAAACTCCAACAAGCAAATCAAAAAGCAACAGCGATATTCAGTCAGTCATCAGAGTATCTGATAACCGGCACAGAAATAATTATAGTTCAAAAACTTTACACCTTAGCTGCCTTACTAAGGAAAGGCATGCCTAACGACTGGGACTAGATAATTGTTTACTAAAAAGGTACCTACTTAAGTATTTAAGAGCTCAATGCAGATATCGAACAAAGAACTATAACGAAATGAGAGAAAATCGTGTCACACTTCGATTAGCCAAATGAGAACCTCACGATTTCATATAGGAAACGGAAACGAGACATAATAGAAAGAATGCGAGAACAGCAGATATCCTAGTTAGAGTTAGATTACAGAGACCAAATACTAACTCTTAAAATCAACAAGACGATTGGTTCAAAGCAATTTCTTAACACGAAAAAATCACTGATACAGCAGAAAACTAATGTTTAATAAATCTTTCACCATCAATCAATTCAACTCTATCGAGATTAACGAAAGAAACTAATGTGTTTGTAAAACTCACTATACGATCCATAAACCATCTTCTACTCAGAGTTAAAGCATCTTAACCACGGTGAGTCTTGGACGATTGACGAAGAATTCTAAGCGAATAAATTTGAAGCAGAATATATGTGAACTTACTTTAAACTTCTTTTCCCATCTCTGTTATGAAAATTCCTTCATAACTATCTATTACATTATCCAATCAAATGGAACTGTCGTTTACTAAGTGAGCAATTATTCTAACATTAACTGAAAATACTGAGTACTACACGTCACACAGTTAGGACTTCACTCTTTCATAGCGAGAAATTCTCGGTTTGCCAGGAATCGATATCCTGATCATTGATTTTTTTGAAAACAGTTCATTTTGAAAATTACACAAAACAGTATATTGTAGATTCTCGACAATGTTCATCTGATTTCTGCTTTCGGATCACTTATCTACTCTACACGTTGGTAGCGGCACAAGTCCTATATTACACATGCGCGCCCAAAACAATTGCACATTTAAGCCTCGAACAAACATATCCCAGCTTGTTATTAATTCTTTCAGTTTAAATAACAAAAAACTAGTATATACTAATCACTGTCAACAAAAAACAACTTCTCTCATTCTACAACAATAAAATTTTCGTCTTTCTTTCAAGAACCTATAATTTGTTTCTGGCGCTTCTTTTGCCGAAGTTCGCGTCTCGAAGCGCGATGCGAAGCCATTGAACAAGCAGAATTTCATGGGCCAAAACACCATAGTTTCAATGTATTAAGAATTTTATCTACCGCGTTTATGCTCAAGAATTTGAGAATTTAAAAGTTGTTTCCAGTCTTTTGAAAATTTAGTTTTTATGTAGATCTAAATCTTCCAAAAGAATGTAGTTCCCGAGTCCTCAAACGTCACACGCTAGTTACCAAAAAGTACGCGATAGACGATAGAAATAGTCCTTCGCGGCCAATGCATTAATGGATAAGATCATGAGGTAGTTTTAGGTGCACAACTAACGAATAAATATAAGCTTTAACGCACATTTTTCTTTAAGAACATGAGAGAGATCATATGTGATTCATGGGAGTCAGGGTGCTTTAGCCTACACAATGCACATAAATTCATCAAATACGTGACCAAGAACAGTGAACTCTTCTTACGGATGCCTGAAGAAAACTAGATTTCGTTTCTAATGTGCGAAGTGGTTATGACTGTTATACAAGCACACAAAAAGGATGCAGATATCACTGACACAAAATGTAAGCTTGAACCTTTTCATTAAACAGATGGACATCATAATTTGGTTACACAACTACAGGGTGGATTAGAAGGAAGTAAAAAGCAAAGAAACCAACAACTTTGTTACGTCGGAGCATGTCGTCTGTAACCAAAGAGACGACCCGAATACTTCTTCAGCAATGAGTGACTTCCTTCCTCCATTTGCTGCTTTTTCTGTAGTTCCTGTAGAGAAGAAGTTAAACAAAAACTATTATAGAGGCTAAAAATGAGGACGAACTTGTTCCGCTAAATAAATTGCTCTTCTTCGAAATTCTTTTGCTGGATCTGGGAACTGCGAGTAATACTGCAATGTTGGGCGAACGTCCTCCACATCGGATAAATGAACAGCTAAAATTATTCGTACAATACGTTTTAGTACTAAAAAATAACATAGTATCAAAAAGTAGGTTATTCCTTGAGAAGACTTCAACCTAATGTGAGCTTAAATGGCATCACAAAAAAATAAACAGCTACCACCTACTTTTAAGCAACTCCGCAAGATCTACAAGTGAGGTGTCATCCATATTTCCTTTCCATTCAGGGACAAGCAATACATTTTCAGGGTTCAATTGAGCCGCCTTTGCATCAACATCAATGAAAATTACCTTCGATAAATCGCGATTCAACTTTGATAAATCCTGAAGCGTAAAATTTCCGTTGGTAGAACACATCTGTAGGACTAAAAACCAAACTAGCAGACCAAAAAAATTGTCTGCGAAGTATTGATACAATACTGAAAAGGTAACGAATCTTCCATGAAGCGAACTATTTTATCAGAGAAGCTACGTGTTAAACAAGCACAAACTTAGAAGCTAAAGTAGCGCTGTGTTTTGTCGTTATGATGGATGTGAATTGCTTTCAAAACTCTTCTTCCTCTCCTTAAAAAATCGTACACATAAACTTCCTGATATCGAAGAGAAGACAAAAGAACTGCGAGAATAAGTTTTTTGTTAACATCATTATTTTTGCTCTCTTTCAATAAACAGATAAACAAAGTTCAAAAATAATAATGCATAAAGGATAAAATGATAAAATTCTCGGCGTTGATCAATCTTTGAGAGATGGGCCACGCATTCGACTTCATTAAGAACCGTTGGAGATGAATGAATGCAAATTTAGCCTTTACAATGACTCGCGGTGGCTTACCGATGTATTGAGCCAGTGCTACTATCCTTCCAGACAAAACCGGTACGAACTTGCCGACCCCGGAAAGATGAAAGGCTTAGTGGGCCTTGGGCGTTTGCATCGATCCCGTGTACATTGCTGGGCGCCTCGGACCACAGCGCTACACAAGTCATTAACAACAAGCAATGCATATGTTTCAAAATTACCTTGACATGTTGTCCATGCATATACTTTGTGCAATCCCTATATAGTCTATACATAATACGTTGCTTTGGATCAAATGAGTCCACGACAGGATGGGCTGTCATCATGGATTCGCTCGTATAAATAACAACCTAAACGTGAAAACTTCCGGCAATAACGATCCACAAAAAAAAGCTAATTCATAATTTTTTCATATACCTCGAAATTTGGATAACCTACAACATCAAGAAAGTAATCAAGAGCTGGACGTTTGGCAAATCTAAAGAAAACAACATGTGGCACAATACAAACGACAATTCTAAGACAAAACGTCGCAAAAAAGTTACAAACCGATAGCCCGTCTTATAGGTCCAGTCAGGATGAACTAACACGTTCTTCATCTCAATCACTAGGGTGTATTTTGGCTGAATATAAGGATGAGGAAGCGGATCCGGAAGAAGCTTTTCACGCGCAGGTTCGACAACAAACTAGAAAGTGATAAACAATTGGGCAAAGATCAGATAGAAGTGAAACAAAATGTAACAGAAGATGTACGAGCAAAACAACTTAAATAGTTAGCTAAAGTGGTAAAGCTACTCACATCTCTCCAAACTTTAAAGCTATTTGCGATACGATAGAATGGTGCCAGATAGGACCCAGTCCACTCGTCTGGGATCACATTTCCAAGTGCGTCACGCTTGGCGCGACCTGCAATAACTCAAAGGTGATAAATTTGCGTCCTGAAACACCACGTTCTAATGGTTTACATCTTCCTTTTTGAAGGAAATATACAACCACTCTCAGCACCCAATAGGTGTCTCAAGTAATTGAGTTCAGGCAGAATGGAAAACCCGTCAAAAAACAAATCTACGCCATGAGCATAGATGAGCGAGTTACCCATAGATAATTTTTAAATCGAAACGAAGAGCGTTATACAAAAGTGGTACTCTAAGAGTCCCAAACAGGTGGAATCAACCAAGCACACACGCGAAAATCGGAATTTCACTAAGATCCACTTGAATAGCTTGACCATCAAAGGGATTGCAGGTAATACAGGTGATACTAAGACTTCCACATACTTTGTCAAAAAGTGGAAAAGTGACTTTTAATACATTTATTTATGTTCTTACCAACTGCCCTTGTTGACTTGATGCGAAGTTGGTAAACGTTGTCGTTGTTGTTGTTGTTGTTGTTGTTGTTGACAGTGGGACTCGCAGCAGAACGGCTCTAAGGAAGGCGAAGTCGCCGAAACGTGAACTATCGTACAACAACAACAGCAACAACAACTACAACTTTTACCAACCTCCCATCAGCTCAATAAGAGTTCGTAAGAACATATGAATAAATATATAGAATGTTTACGCCGATGTTTATAGAAAGTCGGTCTTTTCAGTAATTTCCAGTAGGAAGGGACTACTAAAGTTACAATGAAGACAGTGGAAAAAGAAAATAGTAGGCATAAATAGACTGAAAGAAAAAAAACAAACACTGACCATAATATAAACAGAAGGCTACGAAACCGATAACACTACTTCCTAGAACTATTGCTCCACCGATACGAGTATTTCGCTCCAAGCGCTTGCGGCGTTTCTCTTTTTCCGCTTCATCATCGAACGACTATAACATGTTTAGAGTGTAGAAAACCTGGGGATAACACTACTTCCAGTTAATAAATAACAACCCTCTCCACTCATATTCATCATAAATGGACTGCATTCCAAGAAGCATCAAAGCTTCCTGGACCGAATTATTCTAATTACTCTATCCTAGTTACTTACTTGGATATTTGGATGGCCTGTCCTAACTGTTTGTGTCGGATTCAGCACAATTTCCATCTTTTCAAAGCTATGCTGGTTTAGCTACTGTGATTCCCTGGAGTCTTGAGGTCAGGTTACCCATAGTCTGCCTCAGGTCGTCACCACCACAGGTAGTTGCTACCCTTGTGGATCAGAGAGGGAATTGCCACTACGCGACTAGTTTAGTACGAGAACGATGGTGGATCCTGGTATTGGTATATACTTAGCTGATCTTCCTTATTGAAACGTGGGATTCCTTCTCAGCTTGGAGAACCTTACTGGAGTGATGAATCCACCATTGTACATCGCAGCCCGACACCCAGGAACACCTGTCAGCCACAATGAGCCAGTGAACCGTTGGGAGAGATTATATATCTTCTACTAACAATTTCGAGATATGAAAGACACAAATCAGTTATATTTGGAGGTACAGCTAACTCGAATTACTTGCCCAGAAACAAGTAACCTTAAGAAAGACAAAACACCACTACTACTCAACATACTAAGCAGTTGTTTGGAAAATCAAAATATAAAGAATGTATGACACGAACCTCGTTGGCAGCCTTTGTAATTCCACTACGCTCCGACCGCTCTTCTGCTTTTCCAATATGCTCCTTCAATAGGTTCAGTTCTTCTATAGCCGACAATGTTCCTTGCGATTGTACGACAGGTTTCTGGTTCTGAGTAGCAATGCTGGTGAAAAACGACATAAACACATGAAAAGATATCTAACTACTATTTATAATGTAATCAATTTTTATTTACTGCTCATCCTTCTTTCATAGCAGGGCATGACGTAAAATACAACTACAATAATGCTGAGATATTTGCAAAACTCCTGACCACAGGCGTCTGCAACGGGGATCGAACCTCGTTTTTACCTTTTCGAGGGGGTAAAGTGTTCACCACCACACCATGCGTGTCCTTCCTTTCGCAATCACTATCAACAAGCGCAATTTTAGAAATTCAAGAAACCGTATTGAAAAAAAAACCATGAGTGAAATTTCTGAACACAACAATTCAAAATACTTTCCAAAACTCATACACTTCACTCGTGCTTATTTATTAAACTTACCACAACCTGAAGCCAGTTTGACAAAAATGTATCGAAAAACCCAAGGAAATTTCAGAGCACCTGAGGAATGGTATAGTTTTCACGCTAGCTAGAGAGGACCGATATTACGAGGCTAAAGATAGTAAATAAACGAAACAAGAAGTTCGGAAGTTCAAGAAGTTAGTTCGAACCTGACAGCTACGCAAAAATCTGGTATGCGACAGGTTCGAGAGCTAATAAAATCAAAAATTATTAGGCTATCAGTTAGTGATAAGGGTGGAGAGTTTGTAGTAATTCCTCGCCAGTTAGATGTCGATATAACAGAAAAACATCTCGAAGACGCGTCTCTTTATCGCGCATCTACTGAAAAGGAATTCAGAAGTCAAAATCGAAAACTGAACAGCGAATGGGTCAAAACGGCAAGCGCAGCAGGTTTAAAACCAGCAGACATTTCGCATCTAAAGATCGAAGTGCCAACATGTCCCGTCCTATACTTACTTATCAAGACCCATAAGTTAACACGCGCTGATGATCTGGCGTCTACCGACCCCTCCACTTTTAAAGTGAGACCCATCATCAGTTGTGTAGACGGGCCTACAGATAGAATTGCTTGGTTTATAAACCTAATTCTCAACCAGTTGCTTAGGCACATACCAGCCCATCTCACGAACACCCAAATGTTCCTAGACCGTCTGCGTAACGCACGTCCCAAAAGCGCGTACGTTATGGAATCGTTCGACGTTACCGCTCTTTACACTAACGTGTCGAACGACTCCGCAATGCAAGCCATCCGTGAGCTTCTTGAGAAACACGAAAGAGCGATTAACATGTATGGCTTTTCGATTCAGCAGCTTATGGTCCTCCTGAAGGTCTGTTTAAACTGCTCGATCTTCAGATGGTCCGGGAAATATTACGCACAAATTAGAGGGTTGGCAATGGGACAGCGACTGGCACCAACCCTTGCCGTTGCCTTTATGTCTAAAGTGGAAGCACCAGTAATCGATCTCACGCCATTACTCTACTGTAGGTACATAGATGATTGTTTTGTCATCTGCTCCACACAAGAGGAGATGGACAAATGCTTTAAGTTATTGAATGAACAGTCAGAGTACATAAAATTCACCCGTGAGAAACCGAAAGAAAACTGGCTTCCATTTCTAAACCTTCAAATTAACCTATCCGAGAACGGCTACACCACAAAATGGTACCGAAAGCCGAGCAGTAAGAATATAGTGGTTCACTACCGCTCCTCTCACCCTTCACACACTAAAAGAGCGCTTATAAGAAATATGTTTCGAACCGCCGCTAG